GTTGGGAAGCAAGAAGCTAGAGGTGTATCAGGCACTGATGCAACACGTGGCCAGGGACAATTCAGGCTTGAGCCTGGCTAGAAGAAAAGATGCCACATGTTTCTTGAGATGGACAATGTCAATGATGTCTGATAGCACCATCCTGGCATGCCACCAGAGAGCAAGTGGAAGTAAAACCATGGAGAGAAGAGTCTCAACGATCATCTTGAACGTATATCAGAGTACAGGAATAGAGAAAGAAGATGGTTCCAGACTATCCTTAGAGAACCATCGAAAGCTGGACGAGGTACGGAGGTTCTCTAATAAGAAGTTCGAGGAAGAACATGATGTTCACCGTAACCTGGCCTCGTCAGAACAGTACTCGAGACTCAGTGAGAAGGGGGAATACCAATATGTGTCTGGAGTGATGGGAATAGCCTACAATCCCTTCTTGGACTCGGAAGCTGGAGGAGCCCACAGAAACCATGAGGTAGCGGAGCTACTGAAGTTTTGGACAGAAAGAATAATGGAAATAGACGCGGTGGAAAAAGAGGGGCCGAGCCTGGGCCTGATTCTTGAGAAAACACCAGAGGTGATAAGCATACCGCGCTCAAACAAGAGAGTTGAAGTGAACATGGGCGGTGGAAATGGCTTGTTAACCACGAACTTGGGAGTGATATGGAAGCTACTAAGACCCTCCTGGTGTCCACATCCACATGCAAGTCTAATCGAGGAAACCACAGAGCGAGTGAGGTTAGCACCAACGGAAGATGAAGATCTGGCGAAGTTGAGTGTGCTACATAAGCTAATCACGCCCCAGATGCAAGAGCCAAGCGAAAGGACGAGCGACCCCGGGTCAGCAAAGAAATTGGAGCCGGGTAGCTGTCTGGATTCGACGTGTGGGAACGGAGAGCACATCTGCGATGGACGGTCATGCGTCAGAATACTGTCGTTTCAAAAAGAAGACCTGGTCACTTGGTTCGAAGACATCACAGAAAGGGAGAAAAGTGAAGTGCAAATAATAGCGGAATGTTACGCGAGAACCACGGTGAATATAGCGACAGCTCTCGGATTCTTCTCGAGAATGTGTGGTCTGCAGGCACTGGAGAGACTGGAGTCTGAACATCATTTAGTGACGGCGTTGAGCGTAGAATCATGGCCTGGGGTGTTGCAGGTGACTCAAAAGCACATCCGGAGCTGGAAGGTTGGTCTTGAGGCGGAAATGGGATTTCCCATGAGCGAAGCTTATGGCTTGCCATTGAACGCGAAATCGCTGATAGGGTCAATGATGGCCAACTTGTGCGGAAGTCACTACCCGCTACACATGGCGATGGTGGAAGTGTCCAGCCAGAGAATACTGGTGGACAAGGCCTTCTCAGTGCCCAAGTGCGTGAGGTTGGCTCGGATGTCGCATCACTCGCACAAGTTGTTGAGAAAAATCAAAGGGACAGTACCAAAAGAATTGAGAGATGACTTAAGCGAAATCTGGGGAGAAGATCTTCTGAAGTTGGAAAGAGAAAACACGAGCGATCACGAGAGACAAAACGTGATCGGGAAACCTGTGGGAAGTACTCCGAACCTGGAAGACAACGACACGATGCACGAGAAAATGATGGAGCTTGAACCTCTCTTGGAAGCCTCAGGGGAGCGTAATCTCAGGAGCATTGAGATCTCTCATGGGGAATGCCCATGCCACTGTTTGGCACAAACGGTGTGGTATCCAGATCACAAGAACCTTTGCCTGGTGTGGGATGTGGAAGAGATTCGGTCGATCGGACTACCGGATCACCGGCAGAAGGTGACGCTCTTAGTAGTGAGTACGATGTTAGCTCTGAGATGGATAGAGGAGAATATAACGAAGTATCGGGAGGCGACGACGCCAACGGCTGAGTCAATATACGCGATAGACTACAGCAGGAGACTCGAGTTGTTTGAGACTGCGTGCAAAGTATTCGCCATACCGACGGAAGTCAGGCACGTATGGAGTCGCTTGAGGTACTTTCCATGGTTTCGGGCGACACTGACGTCTTGGTTGTACATGACAACGAAAGATCACATGAGAAAACATCAAAAAGAGTATCGACAGTTCCAGGCCGAGATTGGGCCGGAAGCTTTCAAGAGACCCATGCTAACCCATCGTAATGCGATCACGACAGGATGGAAAAGAGTGGGTAAGATGTCTAGAGACAATACCAAAGCGAGGGAGTCGATACTAGAGGAAGACCTGGCGAAGAACGTGAGCTTGAGCCTGCACAACTCCTTTTGCTTGAACCGAGAAGCTAGGGTGAAGGCACTACCCAACCAAGCAAAGAGATTGCAGGAGCAGAGAGAATGGATGCGATCCTATGAACAGCTGAAGGCTTGGGAGGAGATTGTGATTAGTTCCGATGATGAAGAGGAACTGTTGAGACAGTTTGCCGCATCTAGCACTTCAGGATGCAGTACCTCCAAGGCGAAGAGCACGAGATGAATGGGCAAATCGGATGGATCTTGAGTCTTGAGAGGGAAGGGGGGCTTGAGCGTGGATCCGAGTGAAACTTGGATTAACGAAAAAGAAATTTTAACAAAGCAAATATTGTTACTAATATACTATATTTATTATATAAATCGAAATGCTGCATGACAATTTCCTGATTGAATAGGACAAAAGAGATTTTAAAATGATTGGCTTGAAAAGCGAAAATTCAAGGGTGCAGGTGTATGCAGATTTTGATTGCTGTTTAGCAATAGTGTGAAAATTTTAAATGGCTGTGAATTTTGGGGTGTAGATAAGCTTAAATCTGCTGCAAACTTCTGTAAATGACCACTGGCACTGTATCTTGAGCAACACTCGGTTTTTCTGGGACTCACTGGCAGAAGACAGCGCGCGATGAGGACATCGATCTCGAGTCCGGGGAGTATGTGCCAGTCGGTGATATTTGGAAGTTTGACCTTGAGAGAAGCAAAAAACACTTGTTTTTGGAGTGAAATTTAATTTTTCAAAATTTCGAATGGAACCTGTCATGCACGATTTTCTCGCGAGAACTGAAAATCAGAAAAAGAGATCAGAACAATTTCAGAACAGTTGAATAACAATCGCGGGAAAGTTGCTAGAAAAATCGGTGGGAAATTGCTATTCGCAATTTCAATAGCAATAATAACCTAGAGTAGAGCTGTCCCATCTGAAACAGAGACGAGAGCATTCCCACGAGTTGGATTGTTACGATTGGAATACTATTATTGACTGGACTAGAGTGAACCTTCGGTGGAAAGGTGGACAGCTTGAGTGTCCCAATGGTTCACGAGAACTTGCAGTCTAGAGTAAAAACTTGTTCTTGTTGTTAAAACTGACTAACATTAAACTCATATTAGTTACTTTATTAATTCTTGAGTTGTTTACCGACTTATTTACTTCCTGGTTCTTGAGCGTGCTACAATGTGAGTACTTAATTTAAATTCCTAGAGTGTGTTTTATAATTGTGATGTTGAGGTAAGGCGAGTTTTAGGTTGATCCATCTGAAATGGATCAAAGTTACACTGTCTAATAAAAAGTAACTTAACGGATTGTTCCAACCCGGTTTTTAACGGCGTTCATGTATTTTGGGTATCTAGAGACCTAAGTATGGGGACGTTTCTAATTCTAGAGTGGGGGGATATTTTAGTAGTAGCCTTTAAGCTGTAACGGGTCGTAGTCTCATGTCACAAGCGAACCGAACTGGCTCCGACCGTTCTTGAGGTAGAAAAACACAAGAGATAGTGTCCCTGACCCTTGAGCCAGTGGTTATAGGGCCTATTTTTCTTAAGCCTCATGTGTGACTGCAGTAGACGAATGTTACAATCAGGTCGACAAAAACGATACTGCTTTCCTGCTTCGACCAGAACGCTCAAATTAACTTAATTACATGCAGAAATAGTGAGCTCATGGCTGGAACTCAGTATCCCCAGACCACGAGGTCACTCCTAAAATCAGGGCTACTACTATTAATTATATTACTATTGTTTTTGTTCAGTAGATAAATATCATCATCTCCATCGAAGATGGATCAACCCTTTCCCCCAACTCCTAGCTTCGCATCCTAGCAAAATGAATTCAGATGTTAATTAAATTCAATTCAGGACATAATAGGGAAGCTAAAAATTTGTAGAAAATGCTATGAGTTTCAGTCCAGAGACCCCTCCGGATTCTTGAATCCGGGGAAATAAAACCTCTATTTTCCTTCCGGAAGGCTGCCTTCTACCCTTCACCGTTGATCGCAACGGCCTTGCAACTATCGTAGCGACACAATAGTTGCAACTCGGAACGGTCTCTGCTATTTCTGCTCGTCTCTAATTCCGATTCTAAGTTTTTTCGTTGTTATCGTCGCAACTACTGTTGTTGTTGTGTTTCATTTCAGTTTTTCTGCCAAAATGGCCGTTTCTGACGTTTCTCAGAAATATGACGTTCCAATAACACTGCTAATCCTTCAAAACTGCTAATTCGGAAGGTTAGCTGCTAAAATTTCGAATCTGCATTTTCGTCCATTCTGGTCGAATGTCACATAGATCAGTATCACACAATTTCCGTTTACGGCTTTTCTCAACTAGTTCTGTTGTTCTTCTGTGTGAGACTACTGTGGTTGTGTTTTCGCCGTTTCATGGCGCGAAATTTTGACGTTGTCACGTGTCTTTCTTGAACGAATTTCTAAAAATTAACATGAAAGTTCAAATTAACCCTTCCGCGTTCGTGAAAATGAACAATTAAAACCACTAACTCGTCAAAACCGTCAATCTTCCCACCCCGATGTCACAATAAAGTTTCAAATTCCGACTTTGCATTTTCGTACATTCTGGTCGAATGTCAGTTGTCAAAAAGCGTTTTGTTAAGATTCTCATACGAGCTGCCCGGAAGTGATTGTACTGGTCGTACGGGATGTAAATTGATGTTTTATCGTCATTTAAATTAGTTTATTGTAAAATCCTGACGATTCACATAAGTGCGAAAACGTTTGAAATTTACTTTTTATCAAAAATCTCTTCTAATGTTTATTGATTCCAGATTGGAAATGTCCCGACAAAATTTTTACCAAGAAGAGATCGAGCAATCGATGAGAGCTTTTTCAGACATTTGTGTTGACGACGCAAACAAATTAGCGGAGTTATATTTGAAAGGAGAACAGCTAGGAATAAGTATAGATCAATCTGAAGTCAGAAAACAGTTTAAGGAACTGGAAGAGCTGATAAAATCAATAGCTCTCAGTCAAAAACATCATCAACACATTATTACAACTAGCAATCAAGCCGAAAGTGAGAGGCGTGAATTTGAAAGCTCCATATCGTCTGTTGTTGATTTGACAAATTTTGAAGAAGTTAATGCAAACCTAGCAAAACGATTAGATGCGTTTAAGCCCGCCAAACGAAGGGTTGTCGAAGACAGTGCGGGTTTCATTAGAGAAGCAATAGATGCCATCAAAAGCGCCGAAGATCGCTTGAAACGAAGCCGCGGCTCCATCGAGGTGGTAGACAACAGTCAAGAGTCGGTCATGCGAAAGAAAAATTTGATCTGCCCTTTAACCAAAAAGCAATTTGTGAATCCTGTTGCAAACAAGTTTTGCGGACACAATTACGAAAAAGCTGCAATTGAAAATGCGATTAAACAATCTGAGAGGGCATTCTTGTGTCCGTATAATTGTGCCAATGAACGACCAGTAGAATTAAGCCATTTGCAGTCCAACGACGAAATCAGCGCTTTGTTAAGTCGAACAGGCAGGGTGGAGGATGACGATGATGAAAGTGATTGAACTGATTGCATGGTAAATTCAAATTCGCATCACTGAAAGCTAGTTTTGTTATTGATAAATTCATTATTTTTTGTTATGATATTGTGTTGAATTATATTATAAAATGAGAATATTTTCAGTTTTATTTTATGAAGATTTTTCCGCATAGAAGTCAAACCATAACTGATATAAGTTCTTCATTGGTTTTTCTTCAACCGAGTAGAAAACGTGTTTGGCTAAACATACGCAATTAGAACGTGTGTCAGTTTGATGATCTCTTTTGTGCAATAAAACCGTTTTTCAAACAAAAAAAGTTGCTCAAAAGTGGAAGCTATCATTAAATTAGGAAAGGCAATCATAACAAAACTTTGCTTCAGAACAGGCTTCTGACATCGATAATTAATTTTTTTTTGTTATTTAGATTACAAAGTGAAACAAGGATAGCGGCTCACTGTGCAAATATCACAATGTTCCGACCAGTCTTTATTTTTTTTTTATAATTAGTGTCGTTTTTTCTGTGTAGTGTAATAAAAAGATCTGAACGAAAAAATTTCAAGTAAGTCATATTCGACATTCATAGTCTAAATGGAAAGCAGTTTTTGTAGAAAAATGACTAGAAAAACGAAACAAAAACTTCGTTCTATTTTTTTACCGATTCCCAAAGTGGCGCTAAAAAACTCCAAAAATTAACTTTTCCCGAGTGAAACTAAGTTTTTGTGGCTTAAATTAAGCTTAAGTAAGCAATTTTTAGCCTGCACGCCCACCTCTTTAACTCGAAATTAGAACAAACATCACAAAATTTCAGTTTTTGTGGCTTAAATTAAGCTTAAGTAAGCAATTTTAAGCCTGCACGCCCACCTCTTTAACTCGAAATTAGAACAAACATCACAAAATTTCAAACCAATTTTTCTCGACGCTGAGAATAAATTTTTCACATTTTTGTATTACTGCTTAAATCACGACAGAAAAGGTTTTAATCTGGTATGTAACTCGATCCATTATGATGCTTATTTGTACCTGATTTTGAGTGGAAAAATAATAAAGAAAACTAAAACATACGAATACAAAGTTCCTCCGCATTTGTCAAATGGCCGGAACAACTAGTTGCGAATCCTAGATTTTTGGGCAATGCTCTCTAATTTATGCGAAGCACGATTATCAGTTAACAATGAAAATGACTAACAATGAAAAGTGATGTCAAAATCCTATTCTGAAGCAGAGTTTTCTTATGATTGCGTTTTCAGCAGAAGAATCATAGCAGTAAAACAAAAGTCTTTCCTTTAATAAAAACGGAACTTCAAAACAAGTTTTTCTCATCGTTGCGAGCGTTTAATTGTTATTTCGGATGCACCTCATCCTGTTCTGTGAAAAGAGTGATATCGATTGTGCTCTAGGATAATTAAAAGAAACCGAAATCTTATCAAGTGTTTTCATAGCCATTGATTTCAGTGGACTACTAGAGGGCGGAGGTTATTATCTTCTGTTAAAAATATCTAAACTGCCAAACAACATCCTACTGTACAAATCATGGATCGTTGCACAAAAAATGGACATTAGTCACAGCCATGTTCAAAAGGCGGTTCATTGCACTTCTTGAACTGTTAGGTGAGTCACTCTGGCTGTATAATTATCATTTAAAGGCAATGCCAATGGCCTCCTTATGTAGAAATTTGGTGTATGTTTTGATTTTGTTTAAATTCCTGTTTGATAAAAATAGGTATAATGAAAAAATTATTGGGATCGGGTTTTGCATTTTTTTGAGACGCTTAGCAAAATTTTTTCACTTTTTCAAAAAATTGGTTTTGCTGAAAAATCTGATCAGCCGATTTTCAAGAAAGTGCTACCAACGGCAAATCTGCTCACTACCTTGCGTGCCGCCATATTTCCCTCGTCTTTTTTTTTACCTTACCCAACTCTCTACAGCCTTCGAAAAATTGTGTGTGCGGAATTTTTGACGCATATTTTTGGATTTTTTTTACATTTTCTCGGAAACTCCCTTTCCGAATCTGAGATTTTGTATTCAATTGATAGAAAAGGTTGATAAAAGTTCCCCGGACAAACGGCTTCGGCCAATTTGTTTATACAATAAGTTATGGACCTCAAAAAAAAACAAATTTTCTATTTTTTGGCAGTTTTTTTTTTAAACTTTGACTTTTCTCGAAAACTACTCTCCCTAATCTGAGAGCTTAGTTTCAATGGGTATAAAAATGTGTTTGAAGCTCTCCTGCATAAGCAGTACTTGTTTACATTAACTTGTTTACATTAAAAGTTATGACTCTCGGAAAAGTCAAAATTTCGACTCTCGGAAAAGTCAAAAGGTTTTGGACTTTTCTCGAAAACTACCCTCCCGAGTCTAAGATTTTGGTGCCAATGGCTAGAATGGGCTGTAGAATGCTCCCCTGCGTGGGCAGTTACGCCCAAAATTTCTTACACATCAAGTTATGACCCTCGGAGAAAGCAAATTTTTAAGTTTTTGAAGGTATTTAAGTTTTTGAAGGACTACCCTCCCAAATCGGAGTTTTTGATTTCAATAAAAAAAACGTGTCGTAGGAAGCTTCACTGCATCAACGGCTACGCCCAAATTTTTCAACTAAAACTTATTGCTCTCGTACAAGTCAAAATGTTGAATTTTTTACCGTATTTTGAAACTTCTTTTTTCTCGAAGACTATCGAGCCGAATCCCATATCAATTTTTTATTCGATTCAACAGGTTGTCGGAAGCTTCCGTGCAAAAGCTGAAACGATTTAAATTTTGTAAGAATGACATTGATCTTGATAAAATTTCAAATTCTCAAAGAACTCACTACTGTTTATCTTATTAGGGAACCAACTAAGGTTTTGGGTGAAGCCCATTTTTTGAAATTACCCGCTTCAGTACAAAAATTTTAACATTTATCAAAGAAATACTTCCAGTTTAAGCTGGCCCCTAGTCATTAATAGGTTTAAAAATTCAAACTAGCTCATAGTTTTTGAAAAATGTGTTTTTTTTTCATGCTCATGATCGAAAAGTCAAATACGAGAATCACAGCATAGATATAAACAGTAGAAATTAAAAATATTTTTTCCTTCAAGGATGTAATAGACTATATGTAGAAAAATCAGTTTTTAAAAGATCCGTGACTACTTGGAATAGATACAAAATGATACAGTTTAATCTCAATCATATCCCAACTTATAGACGAGCAAAATTTAATTTACTGCATCGAAAAACTTATTATAGAGGATGCTATAATAATTATGCTTATTGAAAAAACCATTTTGATGTTCTTTAAGGTTTTTTGGCTTCAATCTTTTCGGTGTAGTTTATATCGGCTTAGTTGCCTCAAAATAGGTTGTTTAAAGGAGGGCTGTAATAACTTCTCAAGCGGTTTTATGCTTTGGTATTCGTAACAACTTAACTACAGCTCATACCAATCATATAATTGTCCATTCTCCTTTTGTGGTGAGGTTGGGCGTTCGGAAAGTGGGTAAGCAATGGTGTATCTGGATAGCTTGACAATTTGAAGTTATCAGATGAGGGCATCCTTAATAAGATTCAAGCTTCTTATGTCATTCTGTTAAGGAAGTTTTTGGGTTTGAGGGAATTAGTGGGAATTATTCATCTCTCGTTAAACACAATCGGTCCAACAATTTTTAGGTTCTCCTGCTGGTATTTCCCCTGGGACTGAAACCCGGTCTGTCAATTTAAGCGCGTGGTCATTTTCTCTTTGGTGACCAGGCCAAACCATTGTAGCGGTGACCGCACTTGTGGATCGCCCAGCTTTCATAACAGTACATCACAACTGGCCCGAGACAAGCTCTGTAGGTATGATACTTTGTAATCAAGTCAATATCTTCATTCAGCAGCATAGGCGGCATTTTGTCCAGAAAGCTGCTTTTCTGAACGATGCAGTTTTTGCGTCATGATACCTCAATTTATGTTGCCCAGCTTGCAGAGCTCTTTGATAGTGTCCTGGGTTTCAGATTGCTTGATCCATTGATTAGCATTCTGATTTGAGCGATAATTTGAAGGACTATTGCATCGTGGACAAACATTGGTTTTATCTTCAGGTGTTTTCCTCAGACCCATTGCATTCCTTATGTATCACTTGATTACAGGAATTGCAAAGTTTTGAATAGGCGCCGACTCCTTTCAAACAACAAGCGAATAGCTCTTTTTGGGTTTTCTGAGAAATTTTTTAAGCCTGGTTTTAATTATGAAGTTTTTCATTAAACTGGTATTCCGTTTCAGCTGATATCACAAATTCATCTGCATATAGAGTATCACAGAGGACCCTGGAACGACAGTTTTTGTAACCTCTTCCATTAATTTTGTAAATAACAACGGGCTAAGCGCCGTCACCTGATGCTCGCCTACTTTAATTTTGAAGTAATCACCGCATACTTGGGGTAGGCGAATTCTGCTTTTCGACTCCGTGTACAGACATATTAACAGTCGTAGCACATTTTTGAGATTTCTTTGTTGCCTAAAACCCATGGGATCAGTTCCCAGGGACCACGGTCGAATGCTTTTTCGAGAACAACAAATATGTAATTTAAGTTTTTTTCGCAATTAGCTCTTTCAAGTGTCTTATAATAAAACCGGCATCGGTTGTTGATCTACCACCCATAAGGTCAGTTATTTGTATGTAGATTATTTTTGTACTTTATTTCAGATGTTTTTCTTGTTCTTCTCAAAAAGTTTTGATAGGATGCCTCCGTAATCGGATGCCTCTGTAGTATCCACATTTGTAAAATGAGACAGTTTCACCTTCGCTCCAATCGGAGGGGATTAGACCAGATTTCCTGACTAACTTAGGGATTTCAAAAACTTCAGCAAGTTCAGGTTCCCCGGCAAAATTTTATCATGTCCGAAGTTGGTCTTGGGCGCTGATAACTTTTGATTTCTCTCCTTGCCAGTGCCACTTTCTGGATATTAAACTCATCTAATGGGCTCCATTTTAAACGTATGTCTCATTTGAAAAATTTGAGAAAAAGCTTTGCCACTGCCAGAACATCCTCGTCTCAAGTCAGGAGTTTCCTTAATGAATTTTGCTCCAACCACATCCTTTTGATCGTTTTTCTTTTGCTTGGCGAGGTGACAAATTTCAAGTCGTGGCTCCGGTTTTTGAAAAACCTTGACAACATTTCTAGCTCGATGCTTTTTTTTTTAGCTCGGCAACAAGATTTGCTTGGCGAGGCGGAACATTTGAAGTCTTGTCTCCGTTTTGACATATCGTGTCGTCCTTTTTGGCTTGGTTCATTTCCAGACCTCTGCTACTTTTCTTTTCTTTTTAACTCCTTTGTCTATTTTTCTTCGTTTCACCACCATATTTATCTTTTTCACGCTGGTTTTTCGGTTGTTCGTGGCATACGCTTTTCGCTTATTCTTGAAGGGTTGATCAAAAGTTTTTCCAGTTAGCCTGTTTTTGATTATTCTATAGCTTCTTTCTTATTGCTTCTTTGTACTTGAGTTAGTTTTCCCTTTCACTTAATTTCCAAGATTTTTTCTTCCAACTGGTTTTGGCGTATGGCGGTAAATAGGAACTTCAAGAAAGAATGCACGCACGAAAAATAAGTTTGTAGTACCACATTCTTCGCCCGTGATAACTTTCAAATTTTGACCCATCTCTGCGACAATCTGTGTAAGAATGTTCTCAACTCTGAAGCGTACAGTCATCATCATCGCAGCGTTTGTTAAAGAAAGTGTTAGGACGGCTAGGTTTTGTGACTGATAGAAATTGAGAAGTCTGATATCTTAGTTCGGATTCACAAAGCAGAATGGGACACTTTCTCGGTCAATTTCCTGGCGCCACCCTCCAAAGTTTCCATTCGAGTCACCACACAGGAAAATATATTCTTGGTTTGGTAGATATACCATAGTATCTTCTAGCGTGTTACAAAATTCAACCTTTTCCAAATCTTCTCCACCAGTTGGTGAATTTCTTTGCCAGAAAAACTTCGCCATCTCCGAAACTTCTTGTGCCTCTTCCTTTGAAAACAGTACACCGATACAGTACAAAACAGGGTTTCTTCTAGACAGTACACCGATATCTTTCTTTATAGAATTTTGCATATCTCCTTTTAGTTTGCCAACGTTCCAAGAGCTTAGTCGGACGACTTCTTTTCCAGGGTGGATTCCTTCGTGTTGCACATATTAGTATTAGTCATATTAGTCATTCAAACTATGAAATTTTTAGCACCTTTTCCTCATTCAATGGGCGCACGGGCCCGAGGGCCATTGCTTGTACGAATTTCCATGATTTATTTAACAATGCATTTTCTGCATGAAATCCTAATTGATCGAGTGCCTTTTTTGTGTCCACTCTTCTCCTTTTTCCGGGCTTTAGACCGGCAGTTCCATCGAAAAGCAAGACAGACTAGACGGACTTCGTAACAACTTAGAGTCATGAAAAGTTTTTTTAGCACAAGTTTTTTCAGGAGAACGGACGTCTACCCGAGTATTTTCTCTATAGTAATTTTCCTCACAATGCTTATTTAACGCTGAACATTTTGTTAGCCGACATGTTTTCTCAAATTGGACATCCAAAAAAACTCTGTTCACAAATCTATATCATTCGAAACATATATTTGTGAATTTAATTTTTTCTATGTAATTTTCCGGTTTTATGGCTTCCGTCTTTTTCTATCGGCTAGTTTTCATTCCTAGTGCTGCATTCAAAAACTTATCTTTGCAAAACGAATGATGAAGTCTATTTTTTTTAAGTCTTATGCCGGGAAGCCTGAAACACTAGCTCACTCTGGAAAATTAGTTTTTCTCTTCTCGATCTAAATTGGATTTGAGAGCAATCATTTCAATTTTTTTCTTCCGTGACCGAAAGGGCTCTTATGTGACATATCACTCTGTGACTTTTATTCGATGAAACTTATTTTGCGCGACAAGAAAGTTTAATGAAAATACAATTAAAAACACGTCCGAGTATAGAATTACTTCATCATTCGTGTTTGGAACAATAATCGCAATCTGTGCTGATAATTGATTGATTTCCATTGAAGCTACTTTTAATCAAAGCTTCAGCATATTTAGTAATATCAATATTTCTTTTTAAAAAACAACAATGTGAACGGTTAAATTTTGGAAGGATTTGAAAAATTTGGTTTCGTAGATGAAGTGAGAGGGTTGAAATATGAGGTATGCTAAAGAATATGGTGACAACAAGGTTTGCCAAAAAATTCAAAATTTGAAAAAAAATCGAGTTGCTTTATTAAAATTTTTGGTCGTTTTCCTAGATGAACGGCGAAGGTTCATTGAAATGGTAAGGTAGCTTAATGAATAAGATAGTCACACCTGAAATATTGTGCTAGAATGAAATTGGGAGCCCACTCTTTTTCATCTCCCGTCTGACTTTTGTTCGGGCACTTTTTTATCCCCCATCTGCTCAGTGCAGGACCAACCGTGGGGGGAGAGATGTCATCAATTTCGCCGCAGCCGGTCACATCTTGAGGAGGTGGAAGACTCTGGGACCCCTCCAACCGTGACCGAAGTGGGTCAAAAGCATGACCTTCGTGTTGAGAGACGTGTGCCTGTTCGTTGCACTGACCTTGTGTGAAAAAAAACACCCGATGTCATATTTTCTTATAGTTCTTCTATTATTTATTCTAGTCCGTCAAGTCAACGAATGCATGTAGCTACTAAAAATTGCAACGCTCGACTTTGCTCTAATTTGAATTAGTCAATTAGATGAAAATCTGCTGCAACCCTTTCTAGGATATAAGGTTGTGTACGTTCACAAAGCATCTAACTTGAGTGCCCGGTTGACACGCCCTTGCTTTTTTCAATGGCATACAATCTATCGCAAAATGATATTTTTTCTTTTCAGTTTCAATCTCAATTAGCTTGCGGTTTGCTGTTCAAATAGTTTGCTGTTTTAATCTTAAACCTTTCCTAAGTACCTTTTGAAGCACAGGAAGATTTTTAAAACACGTCTGATCATTAAAAAAAAACAAATTAAGAATCTACTTATCTCAGCCACAACGAATTGGAATGCTGAAAGCAACTCTTGTTGCCATCTTGAGAATTAATTTCAAGCCTTATGTATAACCTGGGTAGTCTCTTTTGTCTCAAGTTGTTTTCGCATACCATTTATTTCAACAATTCATTCCTCAAATTAAATTCACATTAATTTTTGCGAGAGCAAAGGTTTTGTACTAAGTATTTTACGCGCATAACAACTAATTTTGCTCTCACTGTGATGTTTTATACGTGAAATTACTAATTCAATTTTGAAGCTTTTTTGATTTGTGAATATGATTTACGTTAAAAGAAAGATTTGTATTTTCATTTACTGTTCATAATTGTACAGCAATTGATGATTTTACTTGCAGTTTATTCAAGAAAAAAAAAACATTGTTTTGACGATTTGGTTATTTTTTGTGTAATGAGAGAATCCCTTTTGTTCTTTTGGTGAAACTAACTCCCCCCTTAATCTCTAGTGATTGAACAGATCTAGGAATTGGGACTTTGCTCAATTGCTCCCAAATCATTAATTCTTTTGTTTCTTTTTTATTTGACTGAAAAAAAATCAGTTGTAGACTGAATTGATACCATAATAATTATAATTCTTTTGTCGGTATAGTTTTTTCGGAGTTAAATTAGATACATTCATTGCCAAATTGCTTGGTCGAAGTCTCTTGAAAGTTTTTTCAAAGGTAAAAGAGTCCAAGTTTTTAGCCAAAAATAACCAAATCAAAAACCGCGAAAAAGAAGAACTACGCCTTAAATATATCAAAATAAACAAAAGCATTACAAAGAAACAATTGAACTGAATTGAAGTAGCCCTGGAAATGAGTGGAGAAGAATTGGACGCGGAGAAGATTGAAGAGTTGAAGGAAGTGTTTAACAGTCATGACCCAGAAGGACAGGTAGGCCATACTTTGAGTTTGCACTTATGTCGCCACCACGCCTCAATATAATGACTACAAGTAGGCATTTGAACTGGGCTTTTGATCGGCAGCCTAATTTTGAAAAAAATGGTAGGCAGTATTTTACAAATATGACCCTTAATATGTCAGATTGGCAGTTTTGATGCGCTATTCGATCATTTTCTGAAAAGTTCTCAAGCAAAATTTATCACCATTTGGGTAGAGGGGGGAGGCTGGACTCAAAAAAACATCACCATGTGTGAGAAGGATTACGTTTGATAGCTCACTCGACCCGAGCAAGTCATTATGAGGAGCAGACCATGAAAAGCACAACTACAGGGTGGCAACTGTGTTGTCATCAGTGCGAAGCATGATCAGTCAGTTTCATCAGTACTAGCAAATCAAGGTCAATGACATAACATTTTCGCTGCACTTGTTCTTTTAATCATTAAAAAACAGCAACAGGTCTATAGAGTGAGATTTTATTCCAGGTTAACTTCGGGGGTTAATTTCAAGTATTGATTAGAGAATACAATTTTCGAAACGTTGACAGTATTTAAAGAAATTGTTCGGAAAATATCACTGCGACGTAAAAATTTTATCGGTGGCAGTATCAGTGTCGGCAGTGCCAATGATTTTTTGGTTACCGTTACCGCCCTGTCCTAGTTGAAACATCTACATTTTACGATCCAGAAATATGAACTTTCGAGTTTTGCTATAGAAGTTTAAGCACGGTCTCCTTGAGCTCCACTATGGTTTCACCAGCTCGAAATCGCTTTTTTCTCGAAGTTTTCGAAAAGCAAAAGAGCTCGTATAGCACCAAGTGTGATATCTTATTAAAGCTCTTCCAATTATAACGCGGATTCAAATCAGAAATTAAGTTAAAAATCATTTCTGTCTATAATTACTGATCTGTATTTTTATACTTCTGGACTAATTGAAATTTCATCACTGTTCTCGAAAGCTACTAGCTAAAGCCGATATTAAGGATTCATTCTAAAAATTGGGGTGTAGACATCTTCTCTGCATACGAGACTCTTCACATGCTTTAGTAGAGAAAATTTTGTGAATTTAGGAAAAGCCAACTTTTAAGATTTTTGATCGTTTTTTGGAATGTTTTTCAATTTTTTTTCGAAAACTACCCTCAGATAAAGAATTCAGTTGAAAAATCGATTAGCATATATTTCTTTAATAATGCAGCTAATACTCTACCTAAGCAGAAAAATCACTAGGGTTTTGCGTTAAGTCCATTTTAGAAACTTTCAAAATTACGCATTTCGGTATCAGTACAAAATATGATCAAAATATTAAAACATGTGAGTCTAGCATAAACTGGGCAACTAGTTTTTATTCCAAGCGTCCGTGGCGCGATTGCGAGGAAGTGGAAATCCTAAACAACCGGTAGGAGATCCATATCCGGAACATTGAAATAGTTAGTTTTTTTGGTCGAGTTTTTCCTGCATCGCATTGGCAATTTGATAGAAACTGCAGCTGCTTTATTGGTGGCTAGTGTTATTAAAATTACCAGCGGTCATAAAGCAGACGTGAGAACGTGTTGCTCCCAAGCCTCGCAAAAAAAGTTGTCAAAGTGTCTTTTTAACCTTTTCCATATTTCACTTTGTTTTGCCCGTTTAGAGATATTTTTTTTGCGTTTTCCACGCTTGTGTTTGCGAAGCACAGCTTCGACTCTGTGTTTCCTTATTACGATTGCGATCAGCAAGTGCTATCAAATTTATTCTATCAATTTTAATAGTATTGATGAAATATATTCTTTTTCAGTTATTATTGCGATTTACATAGTTTTGCAATCAGGTACTAGATTTTTTTTTACCGAAAAGCACTTTGCTAACAAATTTTATGCATGGGATGTAACTTGCTTCATAATAAAGTTGAATCCCTTACGGTTCCTGCCAACTTAGATAAGAGGTAACGCCCATGCTTGGGACGTCCAAGGCGCTGGGTTCGATTGCCACCGAAAGGCCATGTTTTTAAAATTGATTTAAAAAAAATTTTTGTCTGTTTAGTTTTGTCTTACTTTTCAAAGCATGGACTTCTATTCTGATTTAAGCAGTTTTTAGTATAATTGCTTCCGGTTTTTTTTTCTGGAATTTTCTAATTTGCGTTTTTTTTTGGCTGTGTTTTTTGGGTTGTCAATAACAATTCTTTTTCTTGATATTTTTTCATTAAATTGATTTTCACACGAGACAAACAGAATAAAATTCGATTGATGTTGTTGATTTTTTTCGACCTTTTTATTTAATTCCGGAATATAGTTTATATCTTCGCCGCTGTGTATAGTCTTAAATGCAAAACTATACCCGTCGCCGCTGTTTATAGTCTTAAATGCAAATTGATAGGAAAAAACAATTTAGATGTTTTGCAGTAATTGTTCCCACCATAAAATGGGGAATAATTTAGTGTTTTTGTTTGTTTTTTGTTTTCCATGAAAAATCAAGTATCACTAATGATCATCGGAATGGGTCGAATAGAAGCCCATGGCTCGTGATTTCAACGACATTTCAGAAATTTCAAAAAGTTTTCACAGTGCCGAAAACTATTTCTTTTTTTTTTTCGTTCTAGTTTTAGTTATATTTCGAGCGAGTAAAGCGATCAAATTTTATTAAAGCTTTTAGGCTAAAAAAACTTGGTTTTATTTCAAAGAAAACGAGTTTTGGAACTTTTCGTTAGCTCTTTCTTGGAAATCAGGGTTTTCTGAAAAAGATCAAATTTATTGAGCAAAAAATTTTAGAAAGTTAGAAGTATTTGCGTTTGTCGTTCAGTTTTTGAAGGCAAATGTCGAATATGTCTACTTCATTAACTTTTTACGCGTTTGTATAGTTGTCTAATCACGCCAGGCACTAAAAACGATACATATTTCAAGAATATATAAAAATCTTTTTCTAGTTTTAGAATGAGTAAGCTTCTTGCACATCATCCGACTCAACTTGTTTTCAAATGATTTTGTGGTGTCTAGGGAATGGTGAAGAGTGGTGAGCTGGGTGAGATGTTCCAGCAGCTGGGTCTGGAACTGTTTCCGGAAGAAGTAGAAGACATAACTGTGGAGATTGACAAGAACTGTGAGTCCTGTTCATAAGTCAGTACTTTATTTAAGACTTTCTATTCCAACAACCGCCCCGTCAGGCGGTTAGAATAGTCAATAGCATTGTATGGAATCCTTTGTGCATAATTACTGTTGATGCCTTTTTTGCGTTGTTCATGGCCCAAAAATGGAGCTTAACCTTTAGTTTCAAAAAGGTCTTTAAACATGTTCCAAAATATAAGTAAATTACTTATACAAAATTTCCCTGGATTCCGCGCTCAAATACGTGTAACGTAAGTTTTGTCGGCACATTAGTTTTGCAAAGGATCCTCAACTAACGGATATAGCTAGTTATTCCTTTTTTCTAATGTTCTCTATATTTAGAGTGTTTTAGCCGATGGTGTGTTTGACTTTGCGGAGTTTGAGGCGCTCTACTCGAAGTTGACCAAACCTATGACTGAAGATGACGTCATGCAGGCGTTCAAGTTTTTCGACAAGGAGAAGTTGGGGTTCATCTGGGCTGAAGACCTCAAGTAAGACTGCGAAATAAAAATAATTAATTCAAACAGTGTGAAATTTTGTGAAGCCGTTTAGTTGTATGTTTAATGCAAATTGATGCTGTAGTTTGATAGTAAGCGGTTTAGTGGAGTTTACATGCGCAAATCTTCCCAAAAAAAATCTGAGTTTTTTTTTAAAAGTTGGCTCGCAAAGTTTGATGTTCTCTGGGATGTTCTAGGAATATTTTGATGACAATTGGGGACAAGATGACGGAAAAAGAGGCAGACGAGTTGATCAAAACTGCCGACATGAACTATGACGGAAAGATACAGTACATCAACTTCGTAGGACTCATGGCCTCAGAACTCGGAACCACGTGACCCGACCATGTGATCTTGTTATCTTTATGTGACAAATTAAACTCGTTATCTTTACAATACCTTTTGAAAATGACCAAAATATCTTCAAAAACTAAATGCCAACGTCATGCCATAAAATAAACCGAAAGGTTTTTCTATTATCATAATCCAATTGATCTTTCAATTAATACCATTTCAATTAGAATTCATTGTGAAGCTTTCGGATGTTTGAAATACGAAAGTGGTTTTTAATTTTCAGATTTCCCAGCAAAATAAAAGTTTACCTATTGGTTTTGTTTTCTCCAATTGGGTTAATATTATAAAAAAAGTGTCAACCATAGAATGTTCTAGAATTTCAAAGCAACTCGAAACTAATTTGGAACTCGAAGGTTGAGGTAGTTTCTAAAATAAAGTCATTAATTTTCTTCTGTTTACTTCGCTCATTGACTTGTTTACAGCTGTCTTTTGGCTATGGTTTAAAATCACCGAATAATTTCTGAAACGTTTTGTGTACTGATTTTGAACTTCAAATTAATTTTTTTTAACAAAATTTGGGATTTTGAAGCAGTGATGAGCTCGCTTTTTTCTCAAAAAAAATGTGATAAATTGTAAAAGTTTTCGACATCAAAAAAATTCTCGGTTTTTTTCTGTTGTTTTTCTTTCTGAAAAACTAGATTTGAATATTTTAGACTATTTTTCATCTAAATTAATTGATGATTGATCCAAAATTTTAAACGTTTCAAGCTTTCTTTAAATCGTCTTTCTTCTCATGTCTTTCTTCCTGTTTTTTTCTCGATATAATGCAAGACGATTCATCTAACTGTTTTTTGCTGTCTGTCGCAGTTCCCCTGTTCTAATCATTGAAGTTGGAATTTTTTGGTAAGTTTGAGTAGCAGAATTGGTTTTGAGTTAGTTGTAGTTATTATTATAATAGAAGTCATTTAACCAATATACAACAATAAAATTTTCAGCAATGAGACATCAATAGTATAACACTGAACCAAAAAAACCTGTCATTAAAAGTTTTTTCTTCAAAAAAAGTTTTCAAATATATGAACATGATTTAAAACTACATACCTGAGAATTTCATTTTGTACTACATAACGACATCCATGTTTACGCTTGCGATAAGCAAGCGTTATCAAACTGGAATATAGACTTTTCTCGGGTTAGCAACTTGTTTAAAAGAATCACTTGTAGCCTAATTCATAAAGAATTCAAACTTCCATGTGTGCCTGGTCAACGCAGCCTGGAGGTAACGAATATGTTTTGGATGGCAAAGGTCTTGGGTTCGAATTTGATCAGGACCTATTTTATTTCCAACAGGAAAAACACTGTTTTAAACAAAATTGTCGGCCACTTATTTGTTTGCTGAATTGTCACATCTTGGAATCGGTTTTTGCTGCGTGCAGGTTCTTTAATTTTGTTTCTAGTGTTTCATTTTCTTCTACTGTGTGTAATTTTACTTACCTTGACTTCGTATTGCCTTTGTTTTTTTATTTTTTCGCTAAAAAAATTTCCTCTGCCCAAATTTTTTCGCCTTTTTTTATCGGCTTGATGACTTAAATTCGCGTATTTTCAAAGAAAACACAATTTGACATTCACCTTCCCACTTATCAAATTGGTTGTATGTTTACCAATCGGCTTAATGTTTTTTTTTTCATAGAAATTCGTTTCCTAAGTTATGGAAAATCTTTCGTTTTTCTCGGAAGCTTCTACTAATTTTCATAGAAGGGTTATCAAGTGAAAAATCACCTACTTCCCTGTGTGCCTGTATATTCCCCTAGAGTCTTTTTTACTTGACCCTTCTGTCTTCAGCTTCGAAAAAGTCTGGGGGAATATTTGACCATGATTTTATTTGTTTTTTCGTTCGCTCGAAAACTACCCCTCACAAATCTGACTTTTTTGTTTCAATGAATGGAAAGACTTTTGAAAGATTTTGCGGATGAGTGGTTACGCCCAATTTTTTTAACACAAATTTATGGCCCTCCGAATAATCAAGTTTTTGGTTTTTGAACGTTTAAACTTTGTTAGAAAACAAATCTTTCAAATCTGATATTTTGGGTTTAATGGAGATAACAGGCAGTGGAAAATTCCCTTGCATTAGCGGTCAACCGCAAAAAAATGTTACTCAAAAAGTTATGGCCCTGGAAAAAGTCAAATATTTGACTTTGAAAGTTTTTTGGAAATTTTCGACTTTTAACTACCGTGCTAATTTTCAGGTTCTGTTGACTCATTAAACTCGGTTTTGGGAATCCTCTTTGCTTAAGCGACCACAACCTGCTTTTTGCAGAAAAAAAAGTTCTTGGACTTTGGAAATCATTTTGACCGTTTTTTAGAACATAATGAAAGTTTTTTGTAATATTTTTTCTTAAATTTTACTCAATCATTTCTAAGATGAAAAATTCAACTGAAAAAACCGGTTGCAAAAATTGTTCCTTCGAATCCTTAAGGGAAGATTCTTTATTTTTAGTTACAGAAATGTTGACTTATGAAAAGTGATTATCTCAAAAAAATTTTACACTTTATTTACACAATTCTTTTAGTAGATACAACTAAGGTTTTGGGAAAGGTCCGCTTTTTGAAGTCACATTTTTCGTGCCGCTCCAGTATAGCAAATAAATTCAATCTTAAACGCGTACTTCTTGCTTTAGCTCGGCTCCTTGTTTTTGTTTTAACGAGTCATACTAAAATTTTGGTTCACCTTGTTTTTTCGGCCTATTTCTTGTCGGCTTGATGACTTAAATTTGCGTCGTTTCAAAGGAAACACAATTTTAACACTCGCATCCCTACTTTTCAAATTTTTTGTATGTTTACCAATCGGTTTGATAAAATTTCTCTTTTTCATTATAGAAATTCGTTTGCAAAATTATGGAAAAGTTTTGGATTTAATTTTTTTTTCGACTTGTTTCTTTTTATGTTTGAGTTGTATCGCAAGTGGTGCAAGGCTCTGCTTCGCCTCTGTGTTTATTGGAGCGGTCATCGAAGCAACCATATGGCTTTTCGGAAGGTAAATTCGCAAAGAAAACGCAATTAAATTTTTAGGCGTAAACTTTTTGGACACCTGACTTTCCATTCGGAAAACTTTTGAATTAATCAACGGGTTTTTCATTTTTCTTGGTTTGTTTCATTTAACCAATTATACATCGTTGTTTTGAGTATAGGCCTTAAATAGTTTTATAAATTTTGCTCAGCAACGTTAACTGTACAATAATTTCCTTTAATTAATAATAATAAACATAGCCAACAGTAAGTTGGAAAAGTGTCAATGATTTCAAGTAAGAAAAACGTATTGATTTTTTGAAGGTGTTTCAGCTTCTGAATTTAAGAAAAGACATTAAAACGGTTGAAACTAAAAGAACTTTTATGGTTGATTTTTTTAGACCGTAATTTATCTTTCTTTTAACTATTGATTTTGAAATAAAATTGAAAAGAAAGCTAAACTCAACTGCGAAAAACCAAATTTTAGCATAGACAAATTGAGAGAACTATTGGCTCTTTTCCACTTTCCGCCATATTTCAATTTTTATGCTTTCATTAGTGTTTTACGTGTTAGTATGGCTAAACATGGGAAGTTTCATTGCAACATGAGCACGCTCAAACAATGTTTTAGAACTGAATTTCAAATGTGGGGTGGGGTGAAAAAGAGCCGAAGTTTTCCCGAAAAAAAAACCATAAAAAAGCTTAAGACCAAGAGGAGTGTCTGATTTTTGTTCTTTGACACTTAATAATAAAATTAGATCAGGTTCAGTTGGTTAATGCACGTGGGAAGGACCGAGTCATAGGAAAAATCAGTCGTTATGGTGACCTTGATTTTGTATCGTGTCTTTTACTTTCTTTTCGATGATCTTTTCGATGATTGTTCCATTGTGCCTTTTCGATAATCAGTATCCGTGTTTTTGTACGTAGAGTCCACTGTATTTTTCACACTCCCTCCGGCAGGTGCGGCAGGACTTGATTGGGTTTTTTTATATCTAGGAGGGGGAGGTCCACTAGGCGAAGGGGGTCCCGATGCTGAGTTTTGTCCTTGATAAGGACGACCTCCGCTTTGGTTCCAGTTTGGTGGCGGCGGATATTGACCTTGAGGTACAGGGTATTGACCTTGAGGTCCAGGGTATTGACCATGTGGTGGAGGGGGATATTGGGGATAGTGACCATGTGGTGGAGGGGGATATTGGGGATATTGACCATGTGGTGGAGGGGGGTATGAATCTCCGGGATGAGGAGGTGGATATCCCCCATGTGGTGGCTGGGGCTGACCGGAACCTGAAGCTTGAATCAACATCATTGCCTCAGTGTCTAGGTTACCCCTACTGTTGCGACGTGCGCTTGCGTTCTTCGGGACACAGCAAATAAGTGCAATTGCCCCCGCAAATGCAGGCGTGAAGAAAAACACACCGAGCCATAACAAAACAACGTAATAAGTGCCCGTAAATTGATAGGCGAAATCGCTGTAATTTTGCAGATCCGCCGTCAAAACAGCGGCTGGGACAAGGATCGACGCTTCTGTTAAACAGTTGATAAATAAATTTACAATATTTGCTGCTTTTTGTTGATTATATCTCTGTTTTCCGCACAATAAAATGGACCAAGTGACAACACACCCAATACATAAAAGGAAGGCGAGTATGTGGAAGATGATAACTACTTGAACGGCAATCTCTGAATCCATATCGGAGCTGCTGGAACGTGAATTTGTGTGCCAGTTGTAACTGTTGGAGGGCGGATTATGAGGCGGGCTGGGGTTCAAAGTGGGCTCTTGCTTAAGTTTCATTTTTTAATTAACCTCAATTTTAGATTGATTCGACTATAATGCTCAAGGTAAATTTTTTTCTGCGTGACTTCATTTGCCTCAAATTTAGCTCGTAGTGAAACGAATTTTGCATCCTAATAAAAAACATTCTACCGAAAAAAAATCCGAACAAAAAAAATTTTCTATAGTAGTCTCAGTTACGATAAAGCTGGTCGGAACAATTATACTACTCAAGCTCAACTTTTGCAATAGTAGGAAAAAAACGTTTTTTTTTTGAAAATAGCAATTAAAAATGAATCTTTGTTAGTTTTCTATTTGGAGAACATATGAACGGCTCATTAGTTCAAATTCAAAAATACTGTGAGTAACTTAAGAACAAAAATCGCCTTTCTTCATTTTCCACAGCGATAACTGTTGTCAGTTGACATACTACATCTCTTCAGGAAAAACCTTCTTGTCTACCTATTCCTAATTCCAAAATTATTGTGTTCATGGTTTCTGTTTTGCTTTTAAAAACATTTATTG